CATTCGTTATTAATAACCTATTCATTTTTAAGTATTTCTGGAATACATTATAACTATGAACTTAATTACTAAGCCATAGCATAAAATAAATTTTCCCCTTAATCGGGTAATAGTTAAGCTGCTGGCATATACAATTTTTACGCACACTATCATCATGCATATTGTCTTATACACACTAAAATATTAAGATGCCGCACTCACGGAGCTGTTACTTGCAGGGAGCGCGGTATCTAGTCAGAGCGCGGTATCTAGTCAGAGCACGCGATGACTTATCATTAATCTATGAGTTATTGTTTCTTTTTGTAATATTAGCTATATTTTATAGTAATAACATTAAAAATAAATAAAACAAACAACAGATATTCATGAAGTAGAAAAATTAAAAAATAGTTAAAAATGTGTAAAAACTTAACGGAAAGCCACTGAGACATTGTTTTGTGTATTAATATAATACTCTAGAAACTGATAAACTTTTATTAAAAACAACTTCTCAATTAAATTACATTGTGTAACAAAAAACTTTACCTCAGTGTCAACTAGCGACATCTGGTGGGTAGAAAATTATTAGCCCTCATTAGTAACTAACATGATTATGTCTAAAATAATTGTAAAACTATTCATATTTAAAGCTAATATAAGTTTAGCCAATTACAAACTACTGTAAGGTAGTTACTAGCATAATTATGGACTATATGTGGGTCTGAAATAAATTGTTATATTGTTATTATTGGTACCGGCGGGAATCGAACCGGGTTGCTCACGGACCTACTGCAAGTTTAACATTGAGTGCTTAGCCTCTGACCTTCTACGGTTCTTACTTTATAATAGTATTGGCCATTCCAAAAGTTGGTTAAGTGAAAGCTATCACATGTGCACAGTCTTCCACGCCAATAATTAAATTATGAATAAACTAAGTATGACCATATTTCTCATTATAGATCTCAGCTTAAATGGCTTACCATAAGGCATAAAGGCGCAACTCCCGAATATTACTTGTTCTTTTCTCAATTCTTAATGATCCATATTCACCTTCTTACCTCAAAGAACGATTTCAATATCTCTCTTCTTGTCATGATAGAGTTCTTCGATGTTCCTCTAATAACAAGATTTATATTCCTACTCATCTTACCGGGTTCTATGGTAACTCCTTCTCTGTACAGGCTGCACGTCTTTGGAATTCCTTGCCTGCCACCTGCTGTTGACTGGTAGAGAATACCTTTAGGCATTATGTCCGCCGTTTGTATCCTTTTTTTTCTAAAGGGACGCAATAAAGTTTTTAAATAAATAAATAAATAAATAAACTTTGAACTTTTATGAATTTGAGTAAAACACTTTCAATGAGAGCCAAGGAGTTCGCTTAAAATTTTCATACTTTTTTTTAGTATAAGGATGACAAACGAGCACACATCCCGCCTGACAGTAAATGGATGCTGTGGCCCACTCACATTGCGACATACAGAAACAGAAACTTTTTTATTCAATATAGATTATAAATAATACTTATTGAAAGTCACTCTTTTGTTTGATTACCACTGGTTCGGAAAAAACCTCTGTCCTGGGAAGAACCAGCAAGAAACCCAGCGGGACTTTTTTTTTAAATAACAGCTTACAATCATGATGTTACACAAATTAACAACACAACAAATTAGAAATAGCTTGGTAGCGATCACCTCATTTCCAGGGGTTATTATCATCCATAAATTCCTTAATATTATAATAACCCTTTTATACAAACTTAGTTTAATAAAGTTTTTGAACTTTGAACAGGTCAAACTTTGTATATTTTCTGGAATTTTGTTGTAAAAGCGTATACATCGCCCCAAGAATGAATTACTGACTCGATGGAGTCGAGTAACTGGTACTACTAGCTTGTGTCTGTTCCTAGTATTTACAGAATGAATATCACTTATTTTTGTAAAACTACTTTTATTTTTGTGTACGTACATTACATTTTCATAAATGTATTGAGAGGCCAAAGTTAATATATTAATTTCCTTAAATTTTTGGCGCAGCGTCTCTTTAGGCTTTAAATCATAAATTGCTCTTATGGCCCTCTTCTGCAAAACAAATATAATTTCAGTGTCAGCTGCGTGTCCCCATAGCAAAATACCATACGACATTATGCTATGGAAGTAGCTGAAGTAAACTAGTCTAGCTGTTTCAACACTGGTTAAACTTCTAATCTTTTTTACAGCATATGCTGCAGAACTAAGTCTGCTTGCTAGTTTTGATATATGGGGGCTCCATTGAAGCTTCGCGTCTAGTGTGATTCCAAGAAAAATGGTGGTATCTACAAGACTCAGTTTCTCCCCATTTAAAATTACATTAGTATTTAATTGTTTGACATTTGGAGTCACGAATTTCATACATTTTGTTTTAGTCCCATTTAAATGCAAATTATTAACATCGAACCAATTTACTAATTTAGAGATAGCATTATTTACTTCGTCATATTTTAGTAACTGTCGACTTAATTTGAAAATTAAAGAAGTGTCATCTGCAAATAATACTATATCATGGTTATCCCCTACTATGTAAGGTAAGTCATTAATGTATACAAGAAACAGAAAGGGGCCGAGAATTGAGCCTTGAGGCACGCCTATTTGTACCATCGATCCGGAAGAGCTCATATTGTTAATGACAACTCATCAACATACTCTCAATTAACATACTCTCTAAACTCACCATACGAAGCACAGCAGCATTAATCTGATATTTTACGCTGGTATTCTGTGAAAGCTTTGTCTTTCCCCGGTTAAGCCAACCTATTCGTGCTACTAACAAAATATAGCTGCAGCATAGCTCTACCGCGTATACTGTTCACGTGCAGACTGTGCTTGATCCCCGCTGGGACCAATGGAAGTATTAATTATAATTTTGAGTGCTTATTTAACACGTCCACACGTCACGGTGGTGGACGAAAACGTCGTGAAACACAATGATTTCTTACATTTAAAAACAGTCTCAAGAAAGGAAACACTCATAACAAAGTGCTGATTAACTATGTGTTGGTCAGTTAAAGAAAACTTTGTGAGAAAACTTGTATGTTCAAGAAATAAAATATTTCGAAGAAATGTGAAGTCTGCCAACACGCGTGCAGTGCAAAAGACTAATTGCTCCATAAAACTCTCAGAAATTAGTTAATTATAATTTAAAGAATGTTTATTTCTCCTCACAAAAACAGACCATACAAATATGTAAAAACTTATATCTATTTAAATACAGATATGGTCATACTCATAGTCTAGAATGTGTGAGGAGCTGGTGTCTAAGTTAGGCAGTAAAATGCCTGTATATACATATCACAAAGTCCCCCATCCCATGAGATAAACAAGAGCATTATTAGAAATTGAGTGTTATAGGTATCGTAGAACTTCTGATGATACTCTAATGTTTTTATGATATAAGTGGCTATTTCATCATCCTCATCATTATAAGCCCTTCATAAGTCCACTGCTGAACATAGGCCTACCCCAAGAAATGTCACAAAGCACGGTCCTGAGCCACCTGCATCCATTGACTTCCTGCATGTCTTACCAGGTCGTCAGTCCATTTAGTGGGACGCCACCCGTCACTTCGCCTACCGGTACGAGGCTGCCGCTCCAGAACCTTATTTCCCTATCGTTTGTCGGTTCTTCGGAGATATATGGCTGGCCCAATGCCTCTTCAACTTACTAATCCGTTCGCCTATGTTGGTTACTCTGGTTCTACAGCGGTTATCTCAGCTTATCACGTGGAGAAACCCTGTAGGCCCCTTAGCGACCTTGTGAAGGACTACGTCTCAGACCCATAAGTCATCACTGGTAACACGCACTGGTTGTACAATCTCGTTTTTAAGTTTTGACGTATACCTGACGAAAATATTCTCTCTCGGTCGAATTTGGACTTACCTAGCCGCACTATTTGTCCCAGGTAAACATGAGACTCGTCAACAACTTCGAGCTCAGTGCTCGCAATAAATATCGGATAGGTGTGACATTATGTACTTGCTAAGTGACTATTTAATTTATATATAAAAACATTATGCTTGAAAAAAAAACAAAAAGTTTCAGTGGTTTCGTTACCTCATGTGTGTGTGTATGTGAGAAATGAAAGGAGAAAGTGCCCCGTTTTAAAAATGCTTACATATTTTTAAATTACTTAGCTAATTATGTAAGTGGTTTTAAATTAAATAGCTTATATAATAATATAACATTTGTCTCATTTTAGACATTTTAATATTTAATGCAGAATTGCAATAACATTTTCTCAAATAAGACTTTATATTAATGGTTCTTCTCTTGAACTTCAATATCGTCCTGCCACATAAAAACAGAGGTTATGTACTGCAAGGAGTAATTACATGTTATTCATCGGTAGTTGCAATTACCTTACAAACCTAAGTATTGCACTTGACTTTGAATCTGTGAAACCGTAGCAATCATTTTTTCAGCCTTGTGACTCGTGATCACCGTTTTTCTGCCTCTCCGACGAACTTGTCAGATCAGAGATATGTGCAATTGTTTACCTTATTTACTATTACTGTTTGTGTTAACAATGATAAGTGATATCCATTATATTTCTGATTAAAGTACCAAAATCTTTAATAACTAATATAAATAACAAAATAACTGATGAATATATATAATTTAAATTTGAAGAATACGTGACTGTTAAATTTTAAATTATTATATGTGATATTTTAATAAATTTGCAATCGTAAAAATAAAAAAATAAATGAAAAGAGAAATATAAAAATATAGCGGCGGTATAAGATCTACTTCTAGTCCATATCATACCATGGGTGTCGTAAGAGGTGACAGAGGGAAACGGATAGAAACGTCATCCTAAGAATTACTAAAAATAATAACTGCGGTCACAAATCCACCTGCAAAGCGATCTATAGAGAGGCTTTTGTAAAAAAAAATCATGTCCACAATGACCAATTTTTATATATTATATTATTTTTATTATTATTTTGTTTTATATAATATTTAATAAAAAGTAGACCTTCATTAACCTTGAAGGTGAAATGGATTGAACGGACTGTGTCTTATAAAAACCGAATCACTCATTGTAAAATAATTCAGTTGCCTACTAAAAACGACATCAAAATGTTCGTTAAGGTGCGTTAAATTATACATTATACTCAATTTTAATAACTATGATGTAATCTACATTCACTTTTAAAAAATTAGAGTGATTATTTAATTACGAATAAAAAAATGCATTAAAAGTTTAGTGAGATTTTTTATGGAGTATTTAAAATTGTTTTTATCTGTAAGTTTAAATAATTTAAAAATAATTTTGTTCAATGTTTTATTGTTACAGGTTATCGTTGCTCTGTGTGCCATAAGCGCCGTTCGCGCTAGCGGTATTTTGGGAGTTGGCCCGGCGGTCTATAGCAGCCACGCAATCGCTGCCCCCGCTGTGGTCACCAAGACTATCACTCCCGCTGTCTCCTCTGTGTCTTCTTACTCCACCCACACTGCTCACGGTGGACCCATCGCCACTTATGCCGCCGCTCCCGCCATCGCCACCAACTACGCCGCTGCTCCCGCTGTCACCACCACCTACGCTGCAGCTCCCATTGTAAGCAAAACCATCACACCCGTTGTCTCTTCCGTGTCTTCGTACTCAACTCAAACCTCACATGGCTCCCCCATCGCGACCTACGCAGCTGGCCCAGCTGTAGCCTACGCCACCCGAGCCATCGCCGCACCCGCTGTGGCTGCATATGCCACCCGCACTTACGCCGCTCCCGCTGCAACTTCCCACTCTTCCTACTCCACCCAGACTGCTCACGGCAGTCCCATTGTGGCTAAGACCTACGCCGCCCCCGCGTACTCCACCTACGCTGCTCCCGCGTACATTACTTACGGCGCTCCCGCTGCAACTTCCTACTCTTCCTCCTCCACCCAGACTGCTCACGGTAGTCCCATTTTGGCTAAGACCTACGCCACCCCCGCGTACTCCACCTACGCTGCTCCCACGTACTCTACTAACGCCACTCCCGCTGCAACTTCCTATTCTTCCTACTCCACCCAGACTGCTCACGGCAGTCCCATTGTAGCTAAAACTTACGCCGCCCCCGCGTACTCCACCTACGCTGCTCCCGCGTACTCTATTTACGCCGCTCCCGCTGCAACTTCCTACTCTTCCTCCTCCACTCAGACTGCTCACGGCAGTCCCATTGTGGCTAAGACCTATGCCGCCCCCGTGTACTCCACCTACGCTGCTCCCGCGTACTCGACTTACTCCGCTCCTGCGTACTCTACTTACGCTGCTCCCGCGTACTCTATTTACACCGCTCCCGCTGCAACTTCCTACTCTTCCCAGACTACTCACGACGGTCCCATTGTGGCTAAGACCTACGCCGCTCCTGCGCACTCCACTTACGTTGCTCCTGCGTACTCTACCTACGCCGCCGGCCCCGCGTACGCGACCTACGCTGCGGCCGCCCCTATCCTTTGATCCTCTGTTGCGTACTCTGCCGCTCCCGCTGTCTCCCACATCTCCTACAGCGGTCACGCTGCTAACTATAGTTGGTAAACTAAATCTGTTTGTGTCAATTGTAAATAGGTAATTTAAAAAATAAATATACTATAAAACATCCAAATTTTTGTTTGAGTAATTCCTGTAACTTTTATTATCTTAAAAACTAAAACAAGTTTATATAAGGTTTTTAAATTTATCAATTATGGGATATCGTATTTGTACCACTTTCAAAATTGAAATATTTTTTTACTTTGTACCTTGTATTATTAAGGAATAAGGATCTTGCACTTATTAGTTTATACCTTGATTTGTAAGAATTTTTAAAATTTCAATTATAATTAGTATTGGTATAAAACATTCTGCCATGGCTGGGAACAGGTTGGGAAGATAGCCTGCCACGCTACCCCAGTACGTGACGGCGAACTAACATATCTTTGGTTTTCTTTCACCGCAGCGGCAACCGATCAACACGCAAAAATGCAATTAATAATTTCAGTTGTTCCTACTAGAATAAAATTTAGGTCGCGTTTCTCATAAATAAAAGTAAAAATAACAACCTCAAACAAGAAATCACACTTTATTTCGCATTACATATTTTGCACCACTGTCTTTGTGTGTTTTCGCTTGTTGTCAAATTTTTCAAAACAAAATTTTGGATAAAAAATATTTTATAAATAATTTTAAGTAGAGCTTAGCAGCTTTGTCGTTTGGTCACGGTGTAAGAGAATGCATCACCACATTGCGGGTGTCCTCAAAGTAGCGTTAAAAAGAACTCATGGCCTCCAACAGATAAGCGTATAATGTCTTAATATTTTACTGGATAAGAAACATCCAGACTGGCAACGAAAAACAAAGTCAGATGCGACAATATATTGCACTACTGTCGCTAGTGCAAAGCCAAGCGTGGCGATTATGGCAAATTCTCACTAATATGAGAGAGATATAACTCGGGGGCTAAACGCTCGCTTTAGATTTCACAATACGTCAACAATCCCGGGATTTGTTCTCATCGACACCAATAAGATTGTTAATAACTCGTACAATTTTAAGCGCTCATTTGCCTCGTATTAAATCGTCGTAAGAAAACTTGCATATGTGAGGAATTAGGGCATCATGTATAAAGGCTGAACTTTCCTTTTTTTACATGACAGATGCATGTCCTTTTAGATCAGATCAGATCAAAGTAACATCTAAAATGTTCCACATATTGGCAAAGAACATAATAATATATCGTAATAAATACCAACCAACAAACAAATATTAATGTAATAGAAAACAGCACAATTTAAATTATAATATTATGTATAACGCCATGTGGTAGTAATATAAGTGAATCTTTATTTTAACCCCCTGGGAATGAGGTAATTGCTTCCAATCTGTTTCTAAATTGAGTTTTTTCATATTAATTGTATAACTTGTGTTTTCCATTGCATAAAAAGGTCCCACTGGATTCCTTGCTGATACTTCCTAGGATAGATTCGGAAAAAACTTCCGGACTAGTAGAAAAAGTAAAAAATGTCTTCCAATAAGAATTACTTATAATGCATATTGAATAAAAAATATTCTCTTCTATTTAATCCATCATCCCATCTTGTCCTGTAAGAACTACTGAGAGATGTCTGAATGAACCATCTGCTTTACGCCAGACGTAAAATATCCTAGACTGCTGACGGGAAACAGAATGGAATGTGCGAGAATTTTGATTCTACGATCGTCTATTACTACTAGGGATTATGAAGAATCGTTTATATAACGGGATAGTCTCTTGTCCAACAGTGACCAAAAAAACAGCAATCCATCCTTTCGAGGCTACCTTAAAGCTGAAAATTGGTTAGTAGGTCTAGGATGGTACTAGGGTTTCCTTTTCTGTCTAGAAGTTTGTATACCTACTTACCACACTCTAAGCTATTTCTGACGCCAAATAGTAGTGCCTGCACTGCTGTGTTGCCGTCAGAAGGATAAAGAGAACCAGTATAATGACAAGCTCGGAGGACAAAGATGGCATGTCACATGCTATCTTTGTCCTCAGAGGTTCTTTATTTGAAATTGGAAGTCATTTTGGATTGAAGGTGTCTATAGAATTATCGAGGATTAAAATGAGGCATATAAACGCCATTGAATTCATAAAATAAGTTTCAATTAAAGAACTTGCGTGAATATGACAAATAATTATTTGAAATTTACTGTATTTTTTAATTCGTTATAGAGCGATTTAAGTTTTTAGGTGGTAGAGCCTCGCTGAAGCTATATTGTAGCTACGACACCAATGTTATCCTTCGATGGGAGAAAGACTTAGCCTAGCGTAAAATAGCAGGTTAATGCTGCTGTGTATCGTATGGTGAGTGTGAAGAACTGGAGCCTCTTTTTACTAATAACGAGACATTTCATCTTAGTATTTAGAGGTGACAATGCACCTTAATTTATTTATATTAAAAAAAAAAAACTTAACATCTGATTTAAAATTATTTTTTCAAAATATTTACTTAATAGTAGTACAGAAATTGGTCTAAAATTGGCGGGGTCTAATGTACTATCAGATTTAAATAAAGGTATGACTTTATTATGTTTCATTAGATCAGGAAACACACAAGATTCGATGCTTGTAGTTAGATAAGGTGCTAATAGCACAATATCTATTATAGATGCAGTAACTTTAACAGAGATCCCCCACAAGTCTGCCGTTTTCTTAACATCACTTGGGGACATAGTTGCCTCACTTGGGAAGGCGGGTTGGCAACCGCAGGTTCGCTTTACACTGCTGTCTATCTCCTGGTTTGTTTTGCTCAGTCACCTCTTGGGAAACCCACGGAACGATATGATCTAGTGAATATTCTTACACAGTCACTTTAACGAAAATTGAGTGAATTGAATTGAGTGCTTAGTCTATAGCCTCGCACAAGTAGTGTTTCAGTGTTCAGTGTTCTTAGATGGATTTTCCGCCATCAGTCGGCCGCCAGAGCCTCGTCCATTCATCAGCTGATGTTATTTCAAGTTGGCATGTGGAAGAAACTGATATGAAAAATATATCAGTTTTGCTGACACCTTTTATTAGAGCTACGTTTCTAAAGAGAAATGTGCGAACAAATGAGATCACTCGTTATTTCACACTTCACAATGATTTGCAATTTAAATAGAATTGATGACGCATTTATGTCAGAGAAAAAACTAACTTAAACTGGTGATTTCAGCGATTGTATGACCGTTGTGAATAGAATCGTCATAAGAAACACTTACAGTACAGTCGTGGTTTCTTTTCTGTTTGTTACAGAATTAAAGAATGAGTTTGAGGAAGTTACAATATAGAATATATATGTAAATAAATATTAAATATCATAAAATTGGAGGAAATATAAATTTCTGATCAACACAACCCGCTGAACCATTCAGTAATAAGAGATGTGTTAAATTAAAAAATGGACTAAGAGTAGACTATATTTGTCCTTATTGAAGGAATTGTTTTATTGAACCTTCACTGAAATGGGGATACGTTACGCTATTTTCTATCCATATTTTTGATGTGTAACATCTTTCCTAACGCTTTCCTGCAATATGTGTGAGAAAACGGACGGAAGTGTGTAACAGGAAGCCAGGGAAGCGGGCGCTATTTGATTTGACCAATGAGCGCGCGCGGTGGTAGAAAAGTGCTATTTATACTAATTTATATGCGTAAACTATAATAATAAATGTATTTACTGTTGATAACAAGAGTTTGAAAATAGTAATAATGAATAATTATTCGAATAAATATTTCAGTAGATATTAAGCTTTCATAAATTTTGAGGTTAATTTCTGTCGCTGCTCAATTGATATTTTTAACTTTGACTAAAAAAAAGCCGATAGCTTTTTACAAGATATAATGTTAATATTTCTTATTGTCAAGGTGAGATGTCAGATGTTACACATCATATGCGACTACTGTAAGGTTCACTCGTTTTTTTTTTAAATTGGCATATCCATTTGAATTATAAATTGATCAATTATTATTTGACATAGGTGACATCTGTCGTATACGGATTCCGGCGCCCGAGGCCTGTTAGTCCCGCACTCTTTGATATGATTCCTTTGTTGTCGTTCAAAAATACTAAGCAATTATTAGAATGATTTTTTTTTAGAATTAAGGGAGATAAACGAGCACAGAGTCCACCTGATGGTAAGTCGATGCTGCGGCTCATAGACATATACATCTATCCGCGATTATAAATCGAAATGCAGATGCGTTGTCACTACTGAGGACTAAGATCGAATGCCTTGTTTTCAGTACAAAGATGTCTTCGGCTCATTACACTCACCTATTTTACACTGGTATTCTGTGGTTTTGGTTTTTGCCCGGTCTAGCCGACCCACTGGTGCTACAACCATAATATAGCCGCAGCATGGCTCTACCACGTAAAAATTGCCAAATACAAATCTTACGAGTACTAACATGTATTTAGATTAAGTATTAGTCGTATAGGATAGTGGATATTCTTAGCACCGCTATTATACGATTGGGCGATGTAAGGAAATCCTAGTGGATATTCTTACATCGTTACATCGTGGGGTAGGCCCATATTATCCCATGTGTATCGTAAGAGGCGACAGAGGGATATTCATCAGGAGACGAGCAACAGCACCTTCTTGATATCAACGTAAAACAATAAAAGTCCTGCAATTACCAACCCGCTTGTCAAGCGTTGCAACTATGGCATATATTCTCCTTACAGGGCAATCTATGGAGGAGGTTTATTTTCAGTTTTCGAAGAAAGATGTAGATGTCTATGGGCCACAGCATCCACTTACCATCATGTGGACTGTGTGCTCGTTTGTCACCCTTATTCTATAAATAAAAAGTGGACTTTGATAGGCAGTTATGATGATGATGATGATTTATCGCAAGCGATATAGAATTTTGATTTCTTTGTTTATTTTAACTAAAGCGCATGTTGCACTGTACTTATTTTTTTAATCTAAATTTGAACAGGAATCCATATAAATTTATCGATTTCTTTTAATAAATATGAAAATAAAGATGGGAACGCCCCTCTGTCGAAATTATACTTAAATTTTTTATAAGC